CAGAATTCTGGAGGAAGGAAAAGCATGTATTTAAAATTATTATGCTGATGAATACATGCTAGGGGCTTCTTTTCTTTCTAGTTTAGTCAGAAATCCTGATTAGAAAAACAACAACATACTTCAGATTTCAAAGGGATGATTTCATGCAAAGGAATTTACATCAAATTACAGAGAAGTCATGAATAATGTACCACAGTTCACAGACAGGAGAGAATAAAGAAGTGTACGCTTGAAACATCTCAGAAATAGCACTTTAATAGCAAATACAAAGAAAATACTTTAGCAAATTATAATTAAAATTTGCTATAATTATGTTAATTATTACAGAGTGAGGAAGAGTGCATGAAGCAAATGAATAAAAAAAAAAGAAATTAAGACATCCAAATCAGCCCTAAGTCCTTGTTCTCAACAGGAATTGCCGTTGCAGTCCTCAGTGCTGTAGAAATGACAAAAGTGCAGAACAGAAAAGAGGGGCTGGTGCCCACTGAGTAACTGCGAGGTGCAGAACCTCGCTCTCTCCCGACCTGTCCCTCACGAGCTCTTTTTATCCTGCAGTGTTAAGTGATCTTTGTACAACTGAATTTACTGCATATTATGCTTAGGTTTCTCTTTATGTGAACTGTAAGGACAAAAAAAGAACCTATCCGAATTATCCTGTAGTTCTCGTGCTAAATTAAAACACAGCAAAAAAATCAAGTATGCAAAGAATTGGTGAGATCATGCAAATATTCTAAAACAAGGAATAAGAAAAAGCAAAACCAAGATAAAATCAGAAAGCTCCTAACTTACTCTGAAGTCCCATGAAGCCTTAGTGAGCTTCAGATGCTTTTGAAAACATTGTTGTTAGTTTTTGGTGGGATTTCCACGATGTGGAACCAGCTGCTGTTCTGACAGCACAAGACTGAGGCTCCTTTCCTGTTGCAATTACTATGCCCATCCAATGTGAAAACACTTTATTTAGTATTTTTGCTGATGCACATAGAATTCTCATCCATAACTCTACAGTAGGAGCAGGAACAGTTAATGCTGCACAAATAAAGTTCTTAAAAGAGAATTTAAAAGTCAAAAAGTACAGGAGTGAGGGCAAGATACAGGACGTCTTGTTTCATTTAAAAAGAAATTACATTTCTAGGTGGGGTGGTTGTGAAGAATATTTGCAAATATGACCTAAATGCTTGGGAACTAAAAAGCAAATTTAAAAAAAAAAAAAAGACTAAATATATTTTCTCATAACAGATCTTGTGATTTATATTACTCGCCAAATTCCTGAGTGTGTGACTCATTATTTTTGAATACTCATGAGTAGCAGCGTTGTATAGGACTTGCTCCTCAGCTGATGCCCGAGAAAAATATGGAGTGCTGGCTTCAGTGTTGGTCTGTGAATTAATAATCTCTGGAGGGCTAGGCCCGATTATTTTTTTTTTTCTCTGAAGCTTACTGTGGGGTTTTGAAGCTTACTGCACATCTACATTTCTGTTGAGCATGTTTTTAAGTATTTAGGATAACAGTTGTAACTTTTGAGCTTTTGCTCTCCCTGGTATCCAACTATTACCCTGCATAGGGATAAGAGGTAGCCATCTCAGAGGATGGAGGGATTTAATTTCTAATATCTAATATACAATTTTTAATATGTAATATCCAATTTCAGTTTCTAATAGGTAATATACATCAAGCGCTTTAAATGCAGAAAGCATGGTGTAAGCACTAAATGTTCCTATTACAGTATTAAATATTCAAGGTGGATTTACTTTGTTAAAAGTTACCTAATGAGAAGTCTCAGGTTTTTCCTCATGTGGCATTGCAAACTGTGGCTGGTTAATGCACCTTTGGAGACGTTGGCTCTGTGCATTTGAAAGCTATTAATCTCAGCCCCAGCTGGATATTTGAGTTCAGAGCAAGAAAAGTCTCCAATTTCAGTCTTTTGCTGGAGCAGCTTGTGCCATTTCCTGAATTTTAGGCAGGAGGAGGCCGATGGGAGAAGGAAGTCCTCTCTCTTTTCTCTCAATCTTACTCTCTGGCAAGCCAAGGAAAAAAGTTGGGCAATTGCATTCAGCAAATATTTCTGGATTTGAAATCCTACTGTGGTGGGTTTTTCCTTGCAAATTACAAATAATTATTCAGTGAAATAAATCAGCAATTTTGGATTATGATTAGGTGGTTGAGTCACCCCCTGGAGGTGTTTAAAAGACAGCTAGACGGGGTGCTCAAAGATACTTTTTAGTAGTGGACAGGTACATTTGGACTCGATCTCAGAGGTCTTTTCCAACCAAAAGATTCTGTGATTCTATGATCTTTGCTGATTTAGATTTAAGTGGCAAATTGGCATTACTAAGTCTTGGTCCCACTACAGACCTGATAATATGGAGATATTTAACAGGGTGCCCAGGGAAGTGGTGGAGTCACCGTCCCTGAAGGTATTCAAGAAACTAATGTAGATGTAGCACTCGGACGTGGTTTAGTGGGCATGGTGGGGATGGGTTGACGGTTGGACCAGATGATCTTAGAGGTCTTTTCCAACCTTAATGAGTCTGTGACATTTCATACGCCTGTGTATATAAAATGTATTTCTTTCAGAAGTCATGTAATTTTTATGATGACCAAAGAAATTGAGGTGAGAAGTCATTGACCCCAGCCATTAGAGTTGTACAAAGATGCTGTGCTTTTGGAGATACATGGCCCCATTCAGTCAGGAATCACAGCATCTGTTGACAGAAATGCTTTAGAAACAGGTAATTCCTTATGGAAAGGAGATGCTGCGCAGCAGATGGCATTTGCTACTTGAATGGAGTAAATCAGTAAAACCACTAGACCGCGATGGTAGATTTATTTGAAGATTTGAACACTCAGTGGTTTTATTATTCTTTTTTTTCAATGGTAAAACAAATAAAAAGCGAAGGTGCCAAGGTGACTCACTTATAGCCAGTGAAATTGGGCAACCTGTTTCTGATAGCCTGGTTTTTGTTTGTTTGCAGTTCCGACTTCTCCTCCCAAAGACGTGACTGTGGTGAGCAAAGAGGGAAAACCTCGGACAATAATTGTTAACTGGCAGCCTCCATCCGAAGCCAACGGCAAAATCACAGGTGCAGTTTGCGTGAGCAATAAAGGCAGATACACGATGCCTGGTTAACATAGTTATGCAGATTATATTCTGCTGTTAACATACTTCATTTAGCCTGGAGCTAGCCAAGAGGTCTATATCTTCTTTGTCAATCTTTTAGTAGCTCAGATTAATTATTTACTTTTGTACCCAGTAAAAATATATTAAGATAGAAACTAATTGCAGTGTGAAATTGGAGACTAACCAGAAATATAGTTTAAATATCTCAGTAACCTTTGCCTTCATCAGTTTGTGCTGTTCTAATAGCATGCCTCCAGAAATACATCTGTAGTGCATCTGGACCATCAGTATTTTATTGAGAAGACTCTATCCCAGCACTCTTTGTCATCTTTGTGTCATTTTTGTGGCACAGAACAGACTTGCAGTCAGTTTATTCGTCCTCTGACATAATCATCAGGAGTAAACTGCCATTTGCCCTGTAGCTACATCACTTTCATGTAGGATAAATTATTTTACAGAAAACAGTAGTTACTGTTTCCTTTCTGTAATTTCAGTTTGGATTCACATTTCTAAAGACTTTTTGATATAATTCACTTCGATTTTCCTTTTTTTTTTTTTTACCCCAGGCTTTAAGCCTAAAGCAGATTTTTATTGGCATCTAGTTTGCAGTGTATGATTTTGCTTTTGTTCTCAGAATTAACTGTGGTGGAGAATCAAACCTTTGAAACCTGTCACCGGCTGGCATCTGCTCAGGCAGTGCTGTCGCCCAGGTGCTAGACAGGAGGCTAAAACTAATGAGATCCCTCTGAAAAGACAGAATACTGGAGACTCTCAACCTTTAGTAATGACAATAAAGTTTTAAGTAAGCTATAACACAGACCCCTAAAAGGCAAAGAGGCACTAAGGCTGCAGGTAAGACGGCATGGTTCTAACAAGTATGCTGTTTCTTTCTGATGTCAGCACTAAAACAAGAGGGCCAGAGGGGTTGTGCAACACACGACACCCGTATATCTGTTTATATGATGTGTATATATATTTTTATATTAGCTAGGAAGCCCATTCTGCATTATTATCAACAAGATGTTTCCTCTATATGGGAGTGATAGTTTGAGTGGAGAAACGAGCCTTTTTCTCAACTGCAGGTTAAAGGACTTGGTTCCTAGCAGTCAGGGAAGGTCATTCAGACAGGTGGGAAATGTAAAGCATAAATATCCCCAGGTTAGATATGCTCTTAAAAAGATAAACCTATCATCTTACATCAAATATACATGAGAGAGGCAAGACAATGAGCAAAATGATCAATTTTCCGGATAAAAATGTTTATACTGTGAAGGAGAACCTTCCATTTATTCATATGTGTTGAATTAAAAACGTATAGTATTTATTAGTTTTTGCATAAGTGTCAGTTAACAGCTAAAAAAATAAAATAAAATAAATCATTCTGTGGTAAGTCTGAGCTCACCATACAGGAGATTCCATGTGCCAGGGATTTTCAGGGATGTGTGGGCTGAGTGCCCTCTGGTGGGGACAGCCAGAGAAATTACTGCTCATTAACTCAGCTCCCTTCATTCTGGGCGGTAAGTAATGCCTTAAGAACTAAGTGATGAGGTAATGCCACCCACTGGATTGCATGCCTGTGGAATACTTGTCTCCAGCTCTAATCTCCTCTTGATGTGGCTAGGATGGATGTGAAATAGGACAGTCAGGAGTTAACTCAGGAGTCTTGTACTTCTGTACTATATAGAGTGCTTTTAGCTCTCACTATATATATTTTTAAATAAGTTAACTCAGGAGTCCTGTGCCTCTATACTATATATAGAGAGAGTGCTCTTAGATGTCACTATGTATTTTTTATTTTATGTGTATATATATATATATACACACATATATATATACACACACATATATATGTTGCCCCTCGTTAAACAAGTTCCAGAGATGTTGCTTTGTGACCTGTACAAGTAGCAAATTATTAAATCTACCTGCCAGTAGTTAACAATGCCACCAAAGGCAGAAGTTAAGCACAAATGGTGTTTCAAGTGTCACCCTCCATGGTAACTGTGAATTATGTCAGTTTGGGGTATCAGCAATTATTTTCAGTTGCTTGGAAGAAGTGGAAGTCACTCTGGAGAATGTCTCCCCTTCCTTACTACAACCCCCAGACTGGTGGTCTGTGGGACAGGCGATGCAGCACGTTGGGCCTGAAGCATCTGATGACTCAGCCCCTGTTCTGTGCAAGTATTTATTTTCTGCTGGGGCTCTGTGTTTCTTATATAACAAATGTTATAAAGCTTTTACTTCATATTGGTTTGTATGTGCAGTATATTTAATAACAGATCATAAACACTTCCCATACCTTTTTTCTGTGGCACACAAGATGACTTCAGTTCTCTTCAGATTATTGTCATCTTTGTTAATAAACTGAAAAATAATAAAATAATTATAAACTATGAAACACACGTTCTTTAGCTCTAAATATTAATACTTTGAAGATGTTTTGATAGTAACAGCTTTATGTTATTTTACATATTTGGTCTATGAACAGGTAAAGGGATGGAAATTAGGAATTTCTCCATATTCAATGAACAACAGTCAAAAATAATTTTGATATTGTAAATGGATTTTTTTTCTCTCAACATATACTTCTGAACAGTTTAAAATTTAAGATGGGAAAGCTGTCTAATATTTAAATGCATCTTTGAAAAAGAAAGAATATGCTTTCAGAAAACCCAGAATCATTTAGCTGTGCAAATACCATTAAAAGTCAATATGACCTTTGCTGTTAGGTCTTACGACTGTCCTGTTACTTTATGTATAAATAAAGAAGTGGTTCTGGTTTTTCCTTTGAATAGGATACATCATTTACTACAGTACGGATGTGAATGCTGAAATCCATGACTGGGTTATTGAACCCGTTGTGGGAAACCGACTGACCCATCAGATACAAGAACTGACCCTCGATACGCCGTATTATTTCAAAATTCAGGCCCGCAACTCGAAGGGCATGGGGCCCATGTCTGAGGCAGTTCAGTTCAGAACGCCAAAAGGTAAAGGATCATGTCTATCTAAATATCTTCCTCCTCATTTTCTGAACGCTACCCTAAGATACCAGTAGATACCATTAAAAATAATTTAAACTGGAAAAGACAGGAAGACGATGGAGTTTAACTAGAAAGAAATCTTCTATTGGGTTGCTTTCGCATGTAGTTCATACATATGGGCACTTAGGTCATCTAGTTATTAACGCCTAAGGTCCATGTCCTAATTGTGCTTTTTGGAAAGCTAGTTTTTAGTTGCTTTAAGATCTCAGGTCTTGTGTGTCACAGCAGTTCATGATGCAGTAGTGCAAAGCAGGAGGCTCCGGAGCCAGGAGCCAGCGCAGAACTATTCGCGACGTGGATGAGATAATGGGAAATGGTGTGACCCAACAGGCTCTTAAATCGACAACTGCTTGGTGGTGGGTAACTAGTGAAATAGTACGAACACATGACAGCTTGGAAAAAAAAAAAAAGTACTCTAAGGAGGGGTGTAAAATAGACAGTTACGAGATTTTCTCACGGTGCTTTATGAGTGTTTGTGGTTAGAAACGAGAGCTCTAGCTAGTCTGCTTACGCTATGTGAAACTTGAAATTCTCTCTCTCACTCCTTCAAGCCTTGTGATCTTTTTCTTGTTTTTTCCTTCCCTTGTGCTTGTCCCACTAGCTGAATCCTCAGATAAAATGCCTAATGATCAAGGTAAATGAAGAGCCGCTTTCTCTTTTATTCCATCCTTCACACATTTTGTTTTTCCTGTCCATGTGCTGTTGCATTTCCAAAATGAAACAAATATCTGCTGCTCTAACTGTAAATGAGCAAGTTCCTGTTGTGCTTTTAATAGTGGAAGAACTGGAAGTTCTATTTGTGGTTTGGGTGTTAGGAATATCAAGTGATCTCTGTAGTCAGATGTCACATGAAGGGACGAGCGGGTTGTGCCAGAGCTGAATCATTCTGTCAGAATGAATTTGGATTAAGTGATCTTCCAGCAGCTTCTGCCCATTGAAGCAAGATCTCAGTACACAGAGGTGGAAGATCAAACAGTTATCTGATTAGTGCAGGGGCTGTTTTGTGAGCTTTACATCTATAATTATTTTCCTAATAAAGGAAAGTGTGTCTGCTCTAGAAAGCTTTTTTGCAAGAGAGATTCTGCTTGTCAGCTCATTTAGATTCCAGACTCTCCTGAAGAGCACAGCATTAACTACTAAAAGCCTTAAGGTTTTTAAAATGCTTGCTTGAAAAATGGCAGCTTGGAGTTTACTACATTGAATTATAAGGGGAATGTCCCAGGGCTATTTTTGCTTTCTTCCAAATAACCTACAAGCCCAATAAAAAGAGGAAGAATTAGTCTAAAGGGATGAGTTTAAAAGGACATTGGCAAGCAGCTTAGACATACAATTAAATAGATCCTAAAGGGGTTGAGAATGAGCTTGGGTTTTTTAACTTGCTTTTCAGCTTGTTACTTACAAGTAATTTATTAAATACGCTTTTTACCTTCTGTATACCAAATAATCCTGATACTAGACAGTTATGGAGTAAATTCATATCCCGACTTGGATAACAGAGATGCCAGGAGAGATTCAGGCTTGTCTGTGGGGAAGCAGACATTCACTGTGTTGTCATTAGTGCTCAGTTGCAAGTGGAAGGGACTAGGGGAAGATTAAAAGGTTTTCTTTAAAAGTTGCTATTTTCTCTTCTATGCTATTCTCACCTCATTTCAGCAGATAACTACATCTTCTCACCCATCTTTATCATCCTAAAGTTACATATTCTTCCAGTAACAGTTTGTTTAGTATTTATCACATTATATAATTTATAAATCTAAAATTCTACATAAAAACCAAGAGAGTTTTGTTTCTGAATTCATGTAAGAACAGTTAGAGATTATAAATCAGGGCGAACATAGAAAAGGAGAAAAGGAGCTGAAGAGTAGAAAAGCCTGCTCTGTGCCAAGATCACTACATCACAGAACTGTGTCCTTCAGGAGAGAGCAGACAAATTATTCAGGACTGGAAGGAATAAAACTACAATGGGATTGACTCTCCAGCCTTAGCGATTCTTTTTTTTTTTCTCTCCCCTACTTCAATGTTTTTCTCCTGTATTAAACACACCGTGTAGTTCTTCAACACCCTTCTATAGCACAGAACTTGTACTGGGAGAGAAGTCAGTGCCTGTTGCTGTCAAGCTTCAAGGAGTACAAAAGCAAAGTTTAAGGTATCTAATCCTAGTAAAACTGTCCTAAAGTAACAAAAAGATAAAATATGTTGTCTAGCTGCAGATACTTAATGGGTAACATGGAGAGGGACAAGCTAAAAATATATAAAAATTGCAAGTAAAAGTTACCTTAAACTGTTCCTTAATAGAGAAGGAAATGGAAAACCTCAACAATAAACTTTGTAAGAGCCTGGAAGAAAGGCTGGTGTCTATGCAGAAAGTGCAGCATGTGCATGCGCTTGCTCAGAGCCTGTTACGCAGAAGCAAAAGGCTTCTGGTCCCTGATGTGGTGGTGACGGGCTGCTTCCAAGACGCGACAAGTTGCAGTCCTTACACCCCAATGAAGACTCAGGTCATCTCTCAGGTTGCACCGCATAAGAGATGAGCTCCCCAGAATTTAAAGGTTAAACTGTTCTTCCCTGCTTTCAGGAATTAGATACCAAGAAGATTTTAAGTTCCTAAATTTCATCGTATTTTGAAAACTGGACTTTGTCTCTTGTCGTTCTCTTTGCTTTTTTGGGAAATGTGCAGACACTGACGCTGCGCAGTTGGTGCCAGTATAAGGCTCCATGAGCTGCCACGCTCCATGAGGATCATGTGCAGGTAGTTACTCCCAAAGATGTCTTCCAGCATTTTTATCATCTAAATATGATTTATAGACTTTGTCACATATACACGCACATATAGCGGGTATATAAAATGTTCAGTTGGCTGTGTGAGTATATACATTGTTCCAGGGAGTGCAGACCCCATGATAAACCACATGGACTTGGTCGGTGTGTTACACCCACGTGGTCTGTGCAGGTGACTTTGTGTATCTTCTTATCTACTCTATTATTTTATGTCATCTGTTAACTTCAGTAGCTATTATTTTAATTTTCTTTCATGGTGTTATTAAGGATATTGAATTACACTTGGCCAAGCAGAGGTCTTTGCAGAACTCATTAGAAATATCCCTCGTGAATAATGATTCTGCAGTTATAATTCTTATTCTTATCAGTTAATTAGTTGCTAATCTTGTTAATTTGTGCCACATTGCTTTTTTTATGATGCTATTTTTAACAAAGCATTGTACAGTATTCAGTAAAATGGTTTATGGACGTTTAAATATAGTACATCTGCGTAGTTACTGTTACCAACCAAATTTATAGCCTGGCATTTAGTTTGTTTGAAAATACTTGTTTTCAGTAAAACAGAAAGATGGGCATAAAGTATGCTGCCATCTCCTGTCTGTCACCTTTTCCGTGATCTTGCCTATGTTAAGGCTCTAGCTGCTGCACTAAAAGTGCATAGGGTGTCTATTAGTTATCTGGTCATATGGATATAAATATATTAAATACAAGCTGTTTAAAATTCTGTCAAATTATTTAATTATTGCTGCAAAATTATTAGTCCAGTACTTTGAAAAGAGAACAGGTTTTCACTGAATGCAGTGTCCTCTCTAGGGTGGCAGGTGCAATATGTCTTTTTCATTATGGATCTGTCTTGCAATACGACTTTTCCATTATTTTAGAGTACATCTAGCTCCTCGCTGTACACATGTAACATTCCTTCTTATTATCCTTCTTGGGGCTTATCGGTATTCTTGCTGGTACCTTTTACTATTCTTACCAAAGGTCTTTATTTCACAGTGACTAATTTACAAGCTTTGACTTTAGGTTCACAATTCCCATTAGTTACACATCTTTTACCAGTTATTATTTCTTGATCAGAGAGGATTTTTAACTGAGAAAACTCTTCCTTTGCTTGTGAAAATACCGTATTTATGGACTTGTGGGGTTTTGTGCATAACAGCGTAAATGTGTGCAGACTCTTAAAAAATTCCTATAACAAGAGGAATGTTGTTCTTTGCATCTTGCTGTATGTTTCCCCTACTCCAATATTTTTATCATTCATGGTAATTTTGCATTACTGCATTTTAATGAAAACACAAGAAGGAAAAGAACCAGGGTTTTATCTGCAGGAAGCGTTCTGCTAACTCAGGGGAGGTCTTAACATTAGAGGTGAACTTGTGACTTCACACGTCTTGCTGCAGCAGCAAGTGATCTAAATTAGACCTGAATTATGAGGGGAAGCACTTGTTGGAGTAAAAAGAGGAGGGCATTTCAGTTGGGACCTCAGCACCTAGGAGCCCACTAGCAGTACCTGAGGTTCTAGAGGGGCTTTGTGATTTGCCTCAGTTTGTAATAATTGATGTACCGATATGTTCCTATAAACATAACAGTTTGAAACCAATTAATTTGTTTTCCCATGTCCCCCCCCAAAAAAAAAAATTGTGATATTTCATTGTCACTTGTGGCAAAGGTGGAACAAACAGGGGAAGAAGAGGTATAGGGAGAAGTTAAAAGCAAGTTTTTATAGATAGGCAGGGACTTAATATTACATTGACGGCGCTTTTGATCCTCCACCTATTTCCAGTCTTCCACACGTACTGTAATTAAGTACTGGGAAAAGAAACCTGTATAATTACTGTTTCAAGATGATTGTTTGTACAAGTGTGGCAAAGCCATTTGCCTCAACATCTACCTGTGTATTACTGCAAATAATTTTTATTATATTTTTAAAAATGAATACTAGGAGAGGCTCCTAAGCTTACTTACGAAAATAAGTAAGCAACCCTTCCAACCATAACCATTCTATGATTCTATGAAAATACTAATGCCAGAAACTAATTATTGAATAACAATTTTGAAGAAGCAGTTCTTTTCTTGGCGAAACACAGTTGCTGTTCAAAGCCAAATCATGTTGTAGGGGAGAGAAAAGGAGGAAAAAAATGCTGACAGTGGTTCAGAGAAGTTCTGAAAGAGCTACATTAGAAATGCAAAAGTGTGTGTTTATATGTGTGTGTGCATGTATGTATATAAAATTACCACATATGCGACCTTTTCAGCCTCAGGATCTGCAGGGAAAGGAAGCCGCCCAGTGGACATCGGACCAGATTACAAACCACCGCTCGGTGGTAAGTGTTGTGCTAAAGCTTTTCACTTCAAATGCAATGTCTTCTGGTGTTTCCCTGCGTGTTGCTATATCCTACTGAAAATACCAATTACATCTGTTCCAGGAACTTTTTATGATGATAGTTGTTCCCACTCAAGAAATTGTATCATACTTCTGTCATAGTGTTCTTGCCTGCTGTGGGGACTATATGGAAAAAATATCATCACATTTACATTTCAGTCTGGATAAGCACATCTTGTTCCCAGTTTAGTTTTAAATGGCTGCTGTAGTGCACAAGTGTAAAATTAATTCCCTAAAAACATATTAGGAAGGAAAAAAATAATTTTAACTCCTTCTCCTGATTAGCACTGTGCATTGCAGAAGCCTTACCCTAAGGTAACACTCATTAATGTTACATGAAATGTTTTTCTTTCAGAGGAAGGTGACCAGCGTAGGATACTGACACCAATTCATGTGGTTATTGGGTCCAAGGGGATGCCTGTAGTGCTGTAGTTTTAACAAGGTCCCAGGTTTAACTCTCCACTATTGAATTTTTTTATGATAACTATTTGAGTTGAGTGAACATAAATTTTTATAGACTGCTGGTTGGAAATGGATCTATAAAGCATCTTATAGATTTAACAATTGTACAGAAACACAATTAGCAAATGATAAAAAAAAAGGAAGTGCTTCACTTGAAATCCTAGCAGACAAACCATCTTTCTCATTTTACTCATCTGTACAATTCTAGACGTCTTTGATGGGCACTAATTGCTTTTGATGGGGATCTTTTCTGTAAAATAAATAACCCCTTTCTCCCAACTCAAACTCTTCCAGGCAGTAACAGTCCCCATGGAAGTCCTACTTCTCCCTTGGACAGCAACATGCTCCTTGTTATCATAGTATCCGTTGGAGTCATCACCATCGTGATAGTGGTGATAGTTGCCGTCTTCTGCACTCGTCGTACAACTTCTCACCAAAAAAAGTAAGATGTCCCGGTGACACTTTGCCCTGTTCTACCTTAATTCTATTATTTAATCTTTTCTTTATGATGCTTTAGAGTTCATTACTGTGAAGTCTTGTGGGCTGTAGAAATTCTGTTCTGACAACAGATTAGTAATTAGTTTGAATTCTTGTGTTCAGAGATAACGTGCATCAATACAGCTAAGTTATCATGCCTGTGATGATGATGATCTGCTTTTCCTAATCAGTGCTTCAGAGTTTACAAACCATCAAGAGTTTACAGGCAAACTGGGGCAGTGCTTTCATGTATACCTGCACTTGCCCCTCTCTGAGGAGGAATGATTGTTTAAAATTATCTGGGATTATCTTTTTTAAACCATCTTTGTGTGTTTGCGGTACTCACAGCATTTTTTGGTGAATATCTTGCTGGAAGTTTGCCCGGTCATCTGAGAGCTAAGGTCTCTCATTTTGCACCAGGGTCGGAGGCAGAATTAATTTGGGCAGAGCTGTGTGAGCTCAACAGCTCAGGCAGATTCTCACTTTTGTTCTTAGCATGTACTTCAGTGTATGGAGTAGGTTTACAAGCTGGGCATGATAATATCCAGTTTTTAGAAAGTGCTCCAAAATCCTAAATATAGGTGTACATCTGAATTCTTCCCTCATTTAGAGCATCTGAATTAAGACTACAGCAGCAATGCTTCTGTTGATGACTCCTGAAAGTTCTTTCTGCATGTTTTTTCAAAGAACTGAACAGAGCACAGAGCTGAAAGCTTTAAGTTTGAAAAGACTCTTAAGCAAAACAGTTTTAAGAAAGTGGTTAAAAGCTAGGCTTAGAAGAAGCTTTACTGAAGCTGAACCATCCTGCAAAAATGCAAGTTCTTCAGGAGAGGAGAGCAAGGAGGTATGAGTGATGGTCTACAGCTAGGGGATGTGCTTGGGAGAGGGCAAAATTCATGGGTCTGTGCCCAAGAGATATTTTATTTTCAAAGAGCAGAAATAAGCCCGTGAAATCTTGCCTTTGCTTTCCCGCTTTCTGAATGCCACTTCTCCTACACGCAGCAATACAGAATCAGTGAATAACCTTCTACTCTGTTTCAATTGTTGAGCTACAGTGCTCAAAGCAGGGTGCTGGCACCACGTCTGGCTATGTATCACCTGCCTGGGAGGCTCTGTTAATTAATACTTTAAAAAATTCATTTAGTTGTATCTTAACCATTTCTTACTTTTAAAAAAATTTTACTTTTCCAAAATTCTGTCATGTCAAATGTCTGCCTGGCAATCAGTTTGGCAGTGATTAGAGTTAGGTGTGTCTAACCTGAGCAGTGGGAAAATTAACGTTCTTGTCATTAGTCTTTAGAGTTAACGATCTTATTGGGATAATTGGCTATTTGCACACTCCTTCTACAGCTACTGTTTGAGGTTGTTTGCAAGCCCTGAAGTATGGGCACAGCATGATGTACATGCACTTCATGTTTAGAATATTCTCTTCATAACCATAAGTACTGGAAATTTAATTTTTGTTAATGAAAGGTTAGACTGGAGAGCACAGTTCTACAGCATGTGGTAGCATTTGAGACAAATTTCATGGCATCAGAGTTGCAGCATGTGCTTTGACATGTCAGATGTGCTTATATGTAAAATTCAAAGCTTCCTGCCCAGTGGGTTGCTTTTGCTCAGCTGGATACAAGATCTGAAGGAAATCTCAGTGAAAATTTGCCTTCTTCCACCAGTGAAGCCTACATCTAAGAACATTCCATTTGTTTTCCTTCCCAAGGAAACGAGCTGCCTGCAAATCAGTGAATGGGTCCCATAAGTACAAAGGAAACTCCAAAGATGTCAAGCCTCCTGACCTCTGGATCCATCATGAAAGGCTGGAGCTAAAACCCATCGATAAATCTCCAGACCCCAATCCAATCATGACAGATACCCCAATCCCCCGCAATTCCCAAGATATCACCCCAGTTGATAATTCCATGGACAGCAATATCCATCAAAGGCGGAATTCCTACAGAGGTGAGCTATCAATGAGCACTTTGACCATGATGTTTAAAATTAAATACGTTTTACTGTATCTGGTGAAATCAATTTATTGACATATAATTTATTGACAGTTGCCCTTACTTCTTTTTTTGTTCTTATTTTCCAAGTAGTGAATTGGTTTTGTGCTTAGTTTATAAGACTCTCTGAAAAGGACAGATCCCATGTTTTAGTGTGAAAATTGAGTGGCCAAGAGTTAAATCATGAGTTTCCCTTGATAAATACTGATTAGTAATCAGAAGATCATCTAACAAATGTTTCATATTAAACTGTTGAGAGATGCATGTGACATTTTTTCAGTGGTCAAACACAATCAGGTTTTGGTGCTTTAACCAGCTATTGCTCAGCTCTTGAGGTGTGGGTGAGTTTTCACTTGGTGAGTGATTAACTTGTTAATCCAGCATGTTCTACCCATATGTGTGACTCTCTCCTGCCAGAAGTTTGTGTTTGCATTATAGCCTGGACAGTTTCTCCAGTGCCCCATAATCTTTCCTGACTGTCCTCTTTTCCACCTTGTAGTGAAGGATGAAAGAGCTGTTCTTATCATCTATGAGAAACAGAACTGCTTACAAACAGGAGAGTCCAGAAATAAAGAGAGGAGGATTGAAATCATCTGGTGTGGTATCACAAAAGTCTTGCTGCAATGGTAAATAACCTTCAGTATTTTTCCTTCAGGGCATGAGTCAGAGGATAGCATGTCTACACTGGCAGGAAGAAGGGGGATGAGGCCCAAGATGATGATGCCTTTTGATTCTCAACCACCTCAGCGTAAGTCAACAACCCACCTACCTGCTGGCTTGAAATGGGGAGCACCCAAACATGCCATGTCAATGCTATATGCACTGGCACACACACTCACAGAAGGCCTTCCTACTCACTCGTCCTAAGTAATTCTCTCCTATCCGCAGTGAAAACAGTTGAAAGCAAGCATCCTGAATCCCTTGTCGTGAAGGCAGAGTTAGAAAAAGGAAAAGCGGAATAGCTGTATTTGAGTGAGCAGGAGGCATGCTGCTAAACATGGGAAGGGCTGGGAATGTGTCCAACGGTCTGTCCCAGTCTCCAGCAGTGGCAACTGCAGGTGCTTTTTAGGGAGAGCCTGTGAGCCTGCTTGCTTTTTATAGTCCCTTCCCCATGTACTCTGCCAGTGTCCAGCTATTACCTAGGAATTGCAGAGAGTTGGTAAATCTCTGTCAGGTTCTTCTCCAGTTAGTTTTCTCCTCCCCAGACCAGTCATAGCCTTTGTAGCCTCCCCGTGTGAGGCAGCTGCTCTGTCCCCCTTATTGCTTTAGGTGCCATTCTCAGAACCTTCTCTGACTTTACTATGTGCTTCTTGAGATGCAGAGAGCCCAGAGTTGCACACAGTACCACCAGGGTCTTAGAGAGCAGGAAGCAGTGTCCTCTGCCTTCTCCATACCTTCCTTGCTCAATGAGCTACTACTTCCTGTTGGCTTTTTTGGCCGCCTTTGCATATTGAGCTAATGATATCAGAGATCTGTCAACCGTATCTCCAGAAACTCTTTCCTGAGTTGAACTGCCAGTTCTGAGTGTGGCATCACACAAGCACTGTTTGGATTATTTTTCCCTCAATTTATTACTACTGTAATAGTTTATTTAGTTACGCTCAATGTTACCTGACATCTTTTTGCCTGCTTGCTCGGTCCCGTGAGGTCCTTCTGGAGTTCCGTGCCTTAAAAATAGCATTTGACTACCCCAAAGACCTTTATATAATTTCCAAACTTGAAGATTTCTCTGATTGCTTCTATGTCTGGGTCACAGAGAAAATAAGTGATCAAAACCAGTCCCCAGATACCTGAGGAATCTCCTGCTGACTCTCCTCTGTCTTGAAAACTGATCATCATGCTCTTGCCTTTGCTTCTCCCTATCTGTAACCAGCTTTAAGTCCATAAAAGAGCTTTTCCTTCAACAGCAACTTAAGTTTTTTAACTTTGGAGTAGACCCTTGTCAAAGCCTTTTTGAAAATTTAGCTGTATTATATTCACTGCTTCCCTTTATTGACATATTAACTGGCACTGTCCTGAAACTCCGAGGTTAGTGAAGCAGGATTTACATTTACAGGAGTCATGCTTACTCTTTTCTAAATTACCATGTTTACTCATATCTGCCGTGATCTTACTTACACCAAAACATTAAACATAACTGATGTCCCCCCTGCATGGACAGCTATTGAAGAAGTTCTGACCAACCACAATTTACAGTCCACTCTCCTACAGCAAACCAAAATCAGTAAGGTTTTATTTTAAAATGCTATAGTGGCTCAGGAGCAGCGTCCAAAACAAAACAGCTACTCAACCAGTATGAGGGAATTGGAGAGCTGGTGCAGTCGATCACAACACATCTCTGGGCAAGACATCCTCACTTGTGAGATAGTCCCCTGATTTACTGAGCAGAAATTACTCCAACGGGGTAATACTGCTCATCTTTTGGAAAGGATACCAAAAGCCTGCAATACGTCCAGTTAATTTATTGGATAGAGAGACCACTGATAGAGGCTGAGGTTTTGCTGAGTCTGGAAGAGCAGACTTTCAAATGAGGAGGATGTCCGGTTTGTTATTTCTTACCTGTGCATTTCCCCATCAGTCAATGACGATTTGAGAAAAAGTGCTGAATTGAAACTTTGTTGAGCCAGTAGAAATATATTTTTTATTATTATTAAATATTTTAAGAATTAATCAATCTAGTTTTCAAATGATGACTCGGAGATGGAAAGGGACATGGCTAAACCTTAAACAACTAGACTGAAACCCTGACTCGAGGACTCAAGTAAAAAGCCCAAAAGCTAACAGGCAGTGACGGAACTGTGAGGCAAAGTTACACGGTGCTTATCTGGTCTGAGCTTTAGACTTCCCAGAGCTTTTGACTTCATGTTCAACCCTGTAGCCAGGTAATTGATACCACCATGTCTTGTGTTTTATACAATGATTTCAGGACAGTCTGTTATGTTTCAACTTCCTAACTTTTTGCTTTATTTACCTGAAGTGAGTGCTTGGTTTCCTTGGCCTTTACATGCTTTTTCAAGTGTCCCGATGACACAATTAGCTCAGTTTGTGAATTTTTTACTGTTTGCCTGTTTTACAACCTTTTCATAAGAGTAGTATATTTTTTTCTTGGCTTTAAAATAAATAGTCTGATGCTTCTTGTTTTCTCCCAGTTTTACATGTATGAGGGAGGAGCGGAGGTTACAGTTTTACACTAACCATCTTTACTCCAGTCAGTTTCTTAAATGTTTGCTGCCAGATACAGGTGTCTAACATTGCAGCTATTGGATTCAGATGATTTCCTGTCCCACACCAGGTGCTAGAACATGATGAGTTCAGATTTGTGTGACCCCGTAACAAATTCAGACTGCAATAAGTCTCCTGTGTGTATTTCTGTGTGTTTTTTCTCTTAAGTGTGATGCAGCGTTGGGTACACATAGCATAAGATAAAGTCATAGAGGAGTGTGCAGAGTGCTCCACAGAAACAGTGTAGCAAGTACCCCTCATACTATGTTATTCACTGGGAAAGATACTCGGCAACTTACATGATGAGTCCCACACAGTCGAGACAAGTGATCCAGAGGTGATACGTATTTTAGGGAGGTGGTATATTCCAGTCCTACCTTTTGATGGTATTCAAGCTGATGTGATAAAGCTGGCAGATAGAGTTGTGGATATGATTCTCCCTTGCAGCATTAAACCCAGCTGTGATGTCCCTTTTTGATACCAGTCCTGCTGTGTTCACTTGAAAAGCCTGTCTGTTTTTCCTCCTCTTTATTAGATGTTACCTTGCCCAGAAAGAACGAACCAGCCGCAGACGCAGCAGGCTTGGTGTGACAGGTTAGCACACGCACTAAATGCCACTAAAGGATATGTAAGGTCTTTTGGTGCCTTAGGGCTTGAGATTGGTTTTGTGACTTTGGTTGACTTTTTATCCTGTTTGCAAAAATTCTGAGGGCTTCCAACTCTATATTTCTGTTTTATAGTAAGTGGAAACATTAATGTAGATACCTTCTTGCAGAAGCTACACAGAAAACTGACACCAGTGAGGCCCTTTCTCAGCAAGCAACACAGAAGGCAGGACCATTTATTTAGCAGGTTTAAGTCTGTACCTGCAGATACCTTCCTATGGCTTTTCTTTTTGACCTCACTGTAGCATTCACATCTAATTATTTACCTCTTAAATACTAAATCGGGATAATTCAGTGTGTTCAATTTTAGTATAATTTACAGTAATGGTGTATGCCTGGTTAGTTCCTTCTTTGACAACTGGAAAACAAAAATCCTGGAAGGGTATTAGGAAGCAAAGGGCTATTTCTTTTTTAGCACACCACATTTCTCTTTGTCCAGTTCTTCAGCTGAACTTTCCCTCAAAATTAAAGAGTGCATCATGATCTTGGTTAAGAGCTGGTGGTACAACATACTGCTTTTTGATCTGTAAAGCTGTACCTGATTTAGGTCTGATTATCCAGCAAATTATTAGTACAACCCAGCAGTTTAAGCTTGGTGGCAGGGTGACCTTTCTGGGGACCTTTTCACTGGATCAGGTTCTCCCCACTTGCTCACCGTGTTCTGCTTTGGTTAGTGCTTCAGCGCTTTCTATGATTTTGTGTTCTTCCCATGTCCAAGCTGTTAGAAAATGTCTTGAAAGGTGTAGTGTATGTGTGTGGTTTTTTATTTGGGTTGCAGTCTTTTGTACTAACAAACATTATATTTAATAGGGATTGAAATCCTTGCTGAAACACAACTGTAGGCCAGTGGTTTCTACAAATAGAAGTAATTAAAATGTTTATGCCTGGTAAATGTTACACCTTGAAATCTGTATGCCTCCTACCTTGCTGACATGTGAGAGAATTCCTGGTGTCTCTGATGACTGGTGTCTGCTGGATTTCCAGTCTCCAGGCTTTTGTGGGTTATTCCTCCATTCACCAGTTCCCTGCAAGACAAAGTGGGATTTTAATCTTGTTTGAAGCTGTTAGTGAGAATATCTGACATTGACAATGACGTTGGCTTTCTGTTGCCTTAACTCAATGGGAGAAATTGTTGATTACTCTCTTAAGAAAATCTCTAAGTTTATTGCCTCCACTGGTCAATTCACAGATCCTATCCTGCTGACAGGCTGTTTTCCAGGAAATGAGGAAGTCAGAGGGTTCAGATTTGTTGAGTTCAAACCACATGCATCAATGCAATAAGTCTTAACTGAACTCACCATTATAATGATGGATTTGCCCATCTTGTCATTCCTAGAAAGTAACTTTCAAAGGCAGCACATCTGGAGAATTTCCAGAAAAAGTTCAAAAGAAAATAACCAACCACAACCTTTTTTTTTGTGATTCTAATGGTAGCGTTTCCCTCCTGTTTTCTGTATTGAGACTCTGCTTCTTTTGGATGATTTTAAGCAGTTCAGTATTTACATCTCTCATAAGAACTAAATTCTGTGCACGCTTTTCCTTCCAGCCTAGGGAATAGCAAGAGTTTGTTTTGCTGTTACTGCAAAACAGTGAGGGCAAAGGGTGATTTACATTAAGTATGAAATTCATGTCTTGCAAACTAGAAAAAGAAAAGAGCAAGATAAAAAAAAAATAGGGGAAAAAAGAAAAAGAGGCTTTTGGTTTGAGTGTACCAGAGCAGAGCTTTACTAAGTCTGCACAGAGGCAATGAATGGAGCCTTTAGTGTCTTGTCCTACCCTTATCATTTGTCTTGTATTGTTTAATTAACCAAAGATGCCACATTTGGTTACAATGTTAAGAAATTCAGTGACAGCCAGAAATTAATTTGGAATCTGAGCTCATACGTCTCCTGTATGAGGTCTAGCATTTACAGCACAGTGTGAAATACATGGAAGTTCTGAAGGGAGCTGAACTTCATTTTTCTCAAGTGTAACAGAAAGCGCTTGAAAGATACAGCCAAGCGAGATGCACTTTCTGCACAGGAAAATGCTCTGTCTTTTGGGGAGGTTTTGTGTCTTGGCATGGAGGCAGCTCAAGTGCTGGAGCAGAGCTGGAAAATTGGTACTGAAACCTGTCATCTTGGTGTCATTGTAAATCTGCTGAGCGGTTGGCTCCCCCGTTCAGTGGCTCTGTGGGCGAAGGGAGGGGAATGGTGCATTTCAGTCCATGTGCATGCTGGCCTGTATGTTAAGCATTTTTCTGTCTTGTATTCATTCACAGCTGTGATTAGTGCTCATCCCATCCATTCACTCGATAACCCTCACCATCATTTCCACTCCGGCAGCCTCGCTTCTCCAACTCGCAGCTATCTCCATCACCAGGTCAACCCGTGGCCGATTGGCACATCCATGTCCCATTCAGACAGGGCCAATTCCACAGGTGAGATATAAATAAATGGTCAGGTAGATTTTGCTTGTAATGGAACAATGAGTGAAACATGGGGAAATCAAAACCTGAAAAGTAACTTGGTCAGTCTCCGTTGTTGTGCTCCGTGAGAGGCAGAGTGATGGACTTACTTAAGTACAGACAAAATCCTTAATAGGCTGAGTTTTCTGTAAACTGTTTCTTCTGTAGATGAGCTATTGATCCTTGAGATATGTGATGATGTCCTTGGAAAAGAGGTTTAATGTTTAAAATACAACTTCAAATAGGAAGGTTCCTTATTCTAAAGCCTTCAGCCCTGGAGTCTGAAATATCAGATTAAATCTAATTTGAGCTACTTAATAGGATAACTTTTTTCCTAATTGGTTGTGTTTAAAACCAAGAGAGGACAAAAAGTCCAGACTTTGCTACTGGAGCCAACATCAGTTAATGTTCCTGAAGCACACAGAAAATGGAGGTGATTTCTGTGCAGCATTTTCAGGCTTGTAGCACAGTCATTTGCAGTAATTTTTGTAATGTCTGAAAAATTCTGAAGTGACAGTATTGCTAAACTGCACGTAGGTAACATCTTGAGATTAAGTGAATTACGAGCTTCTCCAGTTTAAGGTTTACATTTTAATTAAGGTGCTGCAGCCAACAGCATTGCTTCCTGTTTCCTTATGAAAGCAATTTGTGAGGCTGCACGTGACACAGGCAGACGATACGTTAGAGGCAGAGGTGTTTCCCTCATTCCCTTTACCATGCTGAAGTGACAGCTCTCCCAATCCAGGTCTTTTCCTGCATGTGGTCTGAGTAGGATCATGATACCCTAAAATCAAGATACCATCTCATTGTTCTCTTAGATCGGGGTGGAGCCTGCTGCATACAAACAAATGAAGCCTGTGATTTTATTTTAGCTTTCAGCAAGTAAAGGGATTTCAAGTCTCTCTCAAAAAAAAAAAAAATTTGGCTCTTCTGTATGCACTACAGTGATATATATGTAATGTGTATCTGTGAACGCCAGTACTGTGAAATATTCAAGGGTACAATGAAGAAGATTTGTGCTCCATGCTTTTTATCTGAGGTTGTTATATGTAACTGTCAGTGCAAAACTATTGATTTGGTATTATGCCTGTGGAGTCGTTCAGTTCTCAGGCATATTTTGTTATTAGACAGCTGTTGCTGTTCACCTTCAAACAAGACAGACAGTTACACAGAATTGGTGTTATTTGCTACACAGATAGTTAATCTGTGGAGTCACTTAGCTTATAACAGTGATCTTGGAAAAGGCGCTTGCAGACACTACTGTTTTGTTTCCATCAGACCACAGATAACATTTTTGTTAAAGAAAATAAGCCGCCACTTTTTTTTTTCCTCTTCTGTTGTAGAATCTGTTCGAAACACACCTAGCACGGACACCATGCCAGCTTCCTCCTCTCAGACCTGTGCTGACCACCAGGATCCTGAAAGCACCGCAGGGTCTTACCTGGCTAATGCACAAGAGGAAGATTCAGCTCAGAACCTCCCTACAGCGCATGTCCGTCCTTCCCACCCGCTGAAGAGTTTTGCGGTGCCAGCGGTTCCTCCAGCTGGTTCCACGTATGACCCTGCATTGCCAAGCACACCATTACTGACTCAGCAAGGTGAGCGGGGGAAAACTGGCAAGACACACTTGCCAAAAAGAGAAAGGAGGAGATTTTATGAAGAAAATGAGAGGAACTCCTAGAGGGAGAGGTAGAATTGGGTGTCAGAGGCTGGACTGAATTTTGTTGGTATAATTTTCAAGGCCCTTTTATGTTATGTGCATAGATAAATAGAATTCAAATTTAGCACTCCATAATTTGAAGCATTCGTTTTTCTCAAATACAGTCCTTTTTATTCTACTTTCAAAAGTTTTCTGAATAGGCAAAAGAACTAATTAACTAAGGCATAACAATATCACTCTTTATTTTAAGCTCCTAACCATCCAGTTCACTCGGTGAAGACTGCATCAATTGGGACTTTAGGAAGAACTCGACCTCCTATGCCAGTAGTGGTTCCCAGTGCCCCTGATGTGCAGGAGACCACCAGGATGCTCGAGGACTCGGAAAGCGTAGGTACTCATACGCTGCCAGTGGCTTTCTTTGGCAGTGCTTATTGAACTGTGCTGAATCTCTCTTGTGACTTTTAGTAACATCTGCACTGAGACTCTCAAAGGCGGAGGTTAGTGAGGCTCCTGATTTCCACCAAGTGCCATTGCCTGCTAACCCATATTAAAATAATTTAGTGTCAATTGGGGTTTTTCAGTCTGGAGAAGAGAAGGCTCCAGGGAGACTTTATTGCAGCCTTCCAGTACCTGAAGGGGTCTGTAAGAAAAATGGGGATGGACTTTTTAGCAGAGCCTGTAATGGTTTAAAACTAAAAGATTCAGACTAGATGTAAGGAAGAAATTTTTTACAAGAGTGGTGAAACCCTGGCACAAGTTGCCCAGAGAGGTGGTAGAAGCCCCATCTGTGGAAACATTCATGGTCAGGTTGGATGGAGCTCTGAGCAACCTGATCTGGTTGAAGATGTCCTTGCCCATGGTAGGGGGGTTGGAATTAAATGATCTTTAATGTCCCTCCCAACCCAAAACCATTCCACAATTCTATGAAATTACTTTCTACACCAGGCAGCACATCCAGAGAATAAGCACCTAAATTGCAAGTACTAGCAGTGCTTCCTAAATCTGAAAATGACTTAAGAGCGTAGCTTCATTCCTAATTACACAACACCAGCATCTGCTTCCATCTATTCCAGCCCACAAGGCCCCACTCAGGTCACAAACTAAAAAACCTTTGGCAACATTTTGGCTGAGCTGAGGCTATTAGCTGAACACAGAGTAATGTTCTCTGGAGATTTTCTTTCTTGACTCCTGCTCAACACTTCTGGTTTCTGCTAGCCTGTCACAGTTACAAGAGGAGAGTACAGACAGATACCCCCTATAGCACGAGGCTTTTCATTCTTTACAGTCCGTAGCACCTAATGGAGCTCTGGTTTGTGACTTGGGCTCCCATGTGCAGGCTGCCATACCGGAGCTGTAGAAATGTTCCACACAGCTGGTTTTTGCCTCCTTATCTTGATGTAAAGAGCACCTTTGTTCCCAGAGCTGAACGCCTCCAACAGTGCCGTTCGCTCCTCTGTACAGCTTAAGATGTCATGTTCACGCTTGCTGTGAGATGTCATTTATTCCTGTCTGTTTTGCAAGCCTACTACTGTGCCTGGATCCTATTAAAGTCTTGCAGCTGCAGCTTCCTGTGCTGCTGCAGAGCATCCAAACTATCATTGCAGATGGGAAATCTAATATTAATGCCAAAACGTTAAAGCCATCATCCCAAATATGTTTTTAGGTACTTGTATGGAAGCGTTCTGTCTTTCTGGGGAAAAATATAACTGTTGGGCTGCTTTGGAAATAGCTTTTAAGAAGTGAGGATGTTTTGGGTGTCAGGCACTGGAAGAGCTGTTTTCCTTTCAAATTGCAAGCCAAGAAGTTATTGTATTAGCTATTGTATTACTGCTACAGGAAATGCTTATTTTGAAGTATTCTTTCTTTTCTTGTTTCCTTACTGTCCTTTATTTTTGTCACTCTCTCATTTCTGTATGTGCTGGTCTAGAAACTGTATGCGTGCTTGATTTGGTGTACTTTTGCCCTTCTGTCTGTTTGTCACTCCTACTTTATTTTGAGTTTTTTGGTTGGTACCAAAAATATACTCATTAATTTAATCAACAACAAATTTGTAATATTTAATTACAATTAATTTATTTTTAATTGTAACCATTATACCAATTGTAGCCATAAGCCATTAGTAAATTTCTTCATTAATAAATTAGTACAATATAAAGTTATTTCAGCACATTAAATACTAGTTAAATGATGAGTTTTAAAAATTAGGATTAGATAGTGATTTGAATTGATTCTTTTTTTTTTATGAAAGCCTGTAGGAATGAGTCTGAGTACTTTTAGCTCACTGCTATTTATCACTGTCAGTAGTCATCAGATAATGCCTTAGACGCAGGACAGAGATGACTTTTCTGGTACAATCTAGATTGCTTGGTAAACTGGGAAGTGCCTGCTGTATTATTTTCTATTTAAATTAAAGAAAATGATTGTATCTAGAAGCAAAGGAAGGGAGATCAGAGTCAGGGTTGAGGGCTCTGCTCTGGAAAGGACTCTAGTTTTATGGTACAGTGTCAGCTGAGCTGTAGCTTTAATATTTGATTCCGAGCCAGGTCTAATAATGAACCTTAGATATCTAGAGCAGGAACTATCACAGAGGAGTTCTTTTCCTTCCAATTCGGCATTAGCAGAGCTGGTATTGGAATACCACATGCAGCCTGGCTCACCTTCTGTGAAAACCACGTTGAGAGAGCAAAGAGGGTTTGGAGAAATGCTCCAAGAACATAAGGGGGTTGAAAACTACACAGTACTGAAAAAAACTTGGTCAGCTTAGAAAAGGTTTGGAGATTAACTAGTTCATGGTATCTATCTACATAATGAACAGGTATCATCAGCCTGTTATCAATGCAATATAGATGAAGCTAAACAATTGAGGCTAAAAACAGAGTGTCATTTTTAGCAAGCATAATGATTCTCAAAGCAGTTTTATAGAAGTGATGTCTTTGACCTTTTTTTCCAGTTAAGCTGGGAAGATTTTTCTAAAATAGCTACTTTGGTTCAAAGGAAGCTGTTGTCTTGAATGAGGAATTGATACAAGGAAAAAAGATAAGATGATCAGTGTCTTCAAAATCAGTGAAACTATGAGTCACTATTGCAAAAAGACTGCACTTAAAATAGAGAGTTGTTTCAAGTTATTAATTCCCGTAAGTGTTGATAAATCTGCTTCTGCTTATTCATGTGTCAGGGTCACAATCTACACCAGAATCACTGACCATTTCTTCTTATTTTGTATTCTGTCTCTTTAAAGAAAGCAAGTCACCTTGTCAATAACTTTTTACATCTCCCACAGAATTATGAACCGGATGAGCTGACCAAAGAGATGGCCCACCTGGAAGGACTTATGAAGGACCTTAATGCCATCACTACAGCATGATCACCTTCACCAGGAGATGACTCCAAAACAGTTTCACAAGTCTTGGGACTCAGCCTTGGAACACAAGGAATTGTACAGAGAAAAAAAAGAAAAAAAAAAAAAAAAAAAGAGAGAAAAAACAGAAAGAGGGACAGCACACGAGAGCATACACAGAAAGCAAACACGTTTCTGCTACAGCTGGTCAAAAAGAGATGACTTTCCCTGTCATCGTCCTGCAATGACCTCATTGCCAAGTTGAATTCCATTTACCTGCTGAGACCATGCAGGATGGGATGCATCGGGCTGAAATCTAGCATCCAGACAAGAGGGGGGGAAAAAAAAGTAGACTTCATATATTTTTTTTTTTCTGGTCAGGTTTCGTCTCAGTGGTGTGATTGCCCTGCCTTTTCAGTGTTGGACATTTGCATTTATGTACAATTTTATTTGTGTTTTTATTTTATCTTTTTTTATAAAAAGGAAAAAACGTTGTAATCCATTAAAAAAAAAAAAGAGGGAGAAACTGTTGTTTTTCACAGCCTAGACTGACGTTTGACTGCTTGTTCTATTGTGTATGAAAATTCATTGCCAGTGTGGGTTGTTCTGTTTTGTTTTTTTATTCTGCATATAATTACGTCCCCTTCTGGCAGTTAATCCATGGCCTTTTGGGATGCTGCACTGCTATTTGTAAGCTTTTTTTTATTATTTTTATATTATAATTATTAAAAGCCTGACTTTCTCCTCTCATCACTGTGAGATTACCAGTCTGTTTGAATTGAAATGTAATTTGAAAGGCTTGTTTGTCGCTTTTTGTGCAGTTTCAGTATTTTGAGTGGGGAAAAGTAGATGGGGAAGGGGAGGGGATCCAGTGGGAAGTTTCATTATTGTTGTTTTCCTGTCTTTCTATATTGACTCGAAAGACTGAAGAAAATGAAAGCATCTTCTGTAACATCCTTCCTTGTAACTTCAGCATACTGTGTCTCTGGTTACTGAACTGCAGTAAGAGACTCATTTAGAACCATTGAGGGGAAACAAAAAAAATTCCTCCTGTAAAGTAGGGTTCCTTACATTTAGATGACACTACAGCTTATTTTGGCAACAGTGCTCTCTTTTGTTGTGGTTAGTTTAAAGATTGCATCATGAAACTTGATCTGAGCGCTTATTCAGCATGGATAACTTATAGTATAGTGAACACTTCTCTGCTGGTGGTGTTTAGGTTTGAGCTTCCTGCACCTCCCAGGAGCAGAGAACTGTGGACCTTTTCTCATCAGCAACATCCCATATCATATTTTTGAGAACACATGTCCACAGGATCCTTCAGCAGCCAGTCCAACACCCCAATGCAGTTTCTCTATACCAGGCTATTTAAACAAGAATCCTTCTCTTACAGATTCTTCAGAGACATAAGACAAAAAATGTATTTTTTTACACTTTCAAAACCATCTGAAAAGAAAACCAGTATTAGCAACTCAGGTGCTGTTCACTTATCTGTCTAGAAAGGAAGGAAAGTAAGAAGGAAACTCCTATATGAGGGGAAGGAAAAGGTTTTTTTGTTTTTTCCTTGTATGATTGCCTGGCTCTGCCATACTCTGTGAGGAGGAATGGCATCAATAGAGGGACTGTGTTTTAGTAAAAAATGAAAAAACAATACCCAGCTGCCTAACAAACTCACGTGCCATTTCGCTTTTAAGATGAAAGAAAATTCAAAACTTACTGATGATTTAGAGGGAGAATCTGTTCCTCCTGAGCGATGGGAGTTGTGATCTCAGAAGCTCCGTGCTAACAATGGAGGAAGCGCAGGTAACGGACATTTCAGGTGCAGGGCACTGCTGCTGTAGTCACAGGGCCTCTGCTAGATGGCTGCACCTGTTGGAATATTAACAGGACATACTGTAAATCTCCTTAAATTAACAAGAACTTTGCTTCATTTATTTTCTTTTATCCATGTGACTAAAGTTCTGGGCCCATTTTCATAGTCACTAAGAGAATGGAGAGCCAGTGAATCATGCTGGAGAGCCACAGGGGCTTGGGATGTAGTTTTACTTCCTTTCTTTTCCTGAACTCTTTGTGTTGTCATTTCTAGGCCATTCTCTGGGTTTATTTATTATTTGAGGGAGGGGAGGGAATCAAAGGAATTGGAGCACCGTGGGCCACCTGGATAATTGAAGTTTGGACTTGTAATCAGTACAATTCAGGGCAAAATAAGCTACAGAATATGTATTTAAATAATAAAATACACACCCTGTCCTGAAAGGAGTGGGTGTAAGTTTTCCTTTGCCTATTTTTTATCTATACCCAAAGAAATGCCATCATACGTACACAGTATTCTTAGCTGGTGAGTCTTTGTGAATATTACTTATGTATAACACCATGAATGTTAATATTGTCATTGAATTTGGGGAGGGGGAATATTTTTAATGATAAAACAACTGTTCAAAGTTGGTTTTTTAAGGTTAAAAAAAAAAAACATTTATTTGATTCAGTGTACAATCTGTATTGCACTTTTTCACATTTTAATGCTACATTTTCTTACATATCCTGTGATTTTAAATTTGGAACATTGTGTATCCTTGTAGTGTCATAGTCAAGCTGTTAAGTGGCAGCTTCCCTCAGAGACATTGGGGAAAAAAACAAAAACAAACCTGTATATTGTTTTATGATTCTCATGTAGAATAATTTTGAGGACTGCTGTAGAGGTCTGCCTTTCTGTACAATTTTTGCTTTTCTGTAGTATTTGCTGTATACTCTATGGCTTTTTTTAATAACTTCATGTTTATTATTTTGTATTGGGTATCCAATACACTTTTTTAATCCAATCAAATTCTGGTCTGCTTGGAGAGTTTGTTCTCTTCTTAATTATTCTTAGAATTTATTTTTTTTTTTTAACTTAATCAGTATGGTGACCAGGTTTGGAATTTTGCTCCCACCTTTTTTGTTGTGGTTTGGTAGGTTGTGTCCTCCAGAGAAAGAGAGAAGAGGAACTGTTATTCCCCACCATCTATTTTCTGGCTAACTCCCCTCCTTTGCAAACCTCAATAGCACAAGTATCACCTTCTAACAAGCAAGCATCAGAAGGAAAGGTTTCAAATCAGTGAAAGTACATTTAATAGCCTGAGTAAAACGAGTGAGTCACAGAAAAATAATGTTGTAATTCTTTGAATATAGCACTTTCTGTCTATAAATTTTAATGTGCAGTAATTGATATCCTGATTGTTACCCTCATGCCACCTCTAGACTCTTTTCTTTCAATACTAGAAACTGTCTCTGATCATCTGTGTATTATCTGCAAACCACCACTTTCCCCAGTTAATTGTGTTCCATTTTCTTGGGAGCATTAGACCATTCCTCATCCTGACCTCTGCTAACAGAAATCAAAGCTACTGAATTGTTTTGCACTCCCTGCTCCTATTTTACTAGTCAGATCCTTTTGTTGACTCATTAAATTGTGCAACCACGCTGAGGTCTTAGGTGGGAACCGGACCCCAGAATTCTCCTGAAAAGATGCCGTGACCCTGCAGCTGGTCAGGGACTTCACAGCCATGCTAGAACTGGTGGGGTGTGTGCACGTACACGTGTAGAGGAGAGGAGAAAGAAGGAACAAAGGCATTAATCATTAAATTGGGATGCAGACCAAAAAAAACCCTGCCCTTACTAACTAGCTTTAAAAGCAAAGGACTGGTTTTTGCTCGGTTAGTCAGTGCTGTGCTATTTGCTTTTCAAATCAAGTCAGATAAAAAAAAAAAAAATGACAGTTTTTTTGAAGTGTTTATCAGTCAAGTAGCCCATTTTCAGACAGGTACAAGCAATACCAACTTATGGCCTCCTGTGCCACCAGGCACTGCAGGACAGGGACACTAGAGGGCACCCATGACTTGCTGCAAAGCAAACCCACAGCCTGCACCATTTTTGCATCCAGCTGGAAGAAAAGAATTTGTTTCTCTTCAGCCTAAGTTAAGACGACTAACAGCAGTGATGCTTTCTTGTTAGCAAAGACCCCAAGCAGTAAACTATTTTTTTCATGCCTAGCTGTGGCTTGCCATGATAGCACTTTGGCATCCAACATAGAAAGTTGACTCAACCACCTTCAATAAACTAGTGCAACACTTGTAGACTTTTTCCATTAAAACCAGCCACTTGCCTTAAGACAAATTGAGGCTGGATTTAAACTAACAGCAAATCATTGTTCATCTCAAATAAAAGCATTCCTGTAGGAGCTCAACATGATTTAACTAAACTGCTCCTTTACATGACAACAGTACAACTTCTCTGTAGGGCTAACTCAACACAGACTTCAACCAGGTTCCACGTCTCCCCTTATTACACATGAATATGAACACAAAGAGTCTGTGTAGACTTTTAAAAGCCCGATGTTGAGCTGCAGTGTGACTCTAGAACCTTCCATAAGCAGACACAGCAAAATTCCTGCCTCCAAAAAAAAAACACTTGCCAGCTCTCCAGTGTGATGGACACCCTAGAAGTTGAGGGGAAAATCATCCTCACAAACAAACATGCTAACAGAGGCAGCAGACAGGACCAGCGGGCTTGGGAAAGAAAAGCCAACTCTTGTGGTTGGCAGGTACAACATGGAAAAGTGGCAACAAGAACACAAGGCTAAGAGTGAAAGGGTGGCAGAAGGAAGCACCCATAGATCCAAAGAGTACACCTGCTTTTGGAAAAGGCAGGAAAAGCCTAAATGTTAAAAGAGTGCCAGGGAGACATACTAAAATCCAATGGGGGGGCAGGCGCGGACAAAGAAGGAGTCAGCCTACTCTTTAGTGCTGCTGGGCCACCTTTCTGGGGAGGAAAGTGATCTCCAGCAGCTGAGAGAGGCTCTCTGATCAGGACTCCCTGCGTGCACAGCTGCCTGGCTCACTTCCCCTCCACAGGCAGGACTGGCAGCAGCTACACTAGGACAATTCCTGTCCTTTAGTAAATGAGAATCAACTTTTTCTAGTTACTTCCCACTTTCAGCTCCTGTTTCCCCAACCTTTTTCCAGCATACACTGCCTTTCCTCCAACCCTTCCTCTCTGCAGGGACAATGGCCAAGACAGCCGGCTCCCATGGGGCTGCAATTTAGAACAAACACTAATTTTCCTTTGTAATTTCCTAG